TGTGTGTGTGTGTGTGTGTGTGTGTGTGGAGAGAGAGAAGCGAGGGGGAGGATGGAGAAAGGGGTGGTGGTGGTGATGAGGGAAAATCGGAATGAGGGAAATGTTGAGGAGGTGAATGAGAGGGAAGGATAAAGCAATGGGGAATGAGATTGTGGAGTAGAAATAGAGGGGGCTGGGGGGGTAGATGGAGGAATAGCAAGAAGGTGGGGAGGGGAGGGGTGGTCAGTAACAAAGCCTAATGTTGCCATGGAAACTTGTTTATGCCTCACTGATGCATCTTGTAGATCCAATTAGAGACTGATTGTGTCTGTGTCTTCATAGACGTACGCACGTGTAACTGGGCACAGCGCACACACACACGCACATGCATGAAAACATATGGATGCACGCATACACACAAGTGCACGAGCACACAAGCGCATGCAAATTGTTGCTGCTGAAAATAGGCAGATTGTCGGGAGACGTAGGACAAAAGGATACCCCGAGTTCCCTCTCTCTTATCGGCCCTTGAATTTGCACAACCCCTCCCCTCAACCTCCACCCCCCTGAGCCTCAGACAATGGCGGCCAAATAACGTCTCACCCGCTTCCAAGCGTTGTATAAGACCCCCCGAGCAAACTATAGTGACCTCCTGTTGTGAACACAATAGCCACATGTATCCCTCCCCCTCCCCCCCCCCCCCCACACACACACATACCCACCATCCCACACATGCTTTCATGACATCATATTCAGCCGGGCTGACAGAGAGGATTTCGACCACTTTGCATGTCTCTTATCTTATATCTCATATCTCTTTTGTGAATGAACTCATATGTTTGGTAATGACCCTGTCTGAGATGAATGGCCATGAATGTTAATCCAATCATGTTAATTTTCATGGGGGGGGGGTTTCTTCTGAAGATTGAAGACTTTTTAAAAGATCATTTCTTACAATGGGTGGGTGTTTGCCAGCGTTTAACATCATCAGAGGAAGAAGATTGGTGATCACGCAGCACCACCGCCGTTGCCGCTGCCTCCCCCCAATAAGCTCGACCACACTCGCGCACTTACGCTATCAGGCATCAGTTCTCTACTTTCATCCGGGGCTGTCTGAGGAGTCAGTTATTTACTGGTGAAATGATGTGTGTGACGATGAAATGAGGGGCTGTAGATAAGGTGAGATTACACTGTGAAGGGTAAAAAAAAAAAGAGGGAAGAGACTGTGAGAGAGAGGGGGGGACAGAGAGGGACCCAACCCCTGATGTCTTGTTAAAACACAAGGGATCAGAAAAAACAACAAATGCATCGCGCGTTGCTAAATCCTGCTTAAATCCGCTGGCATGGGCAGATCTAGCAGATAGCCCTGCTGCTGTGCTCGCTGTCTGCGCCCATGACACACGCACGCACACACACAGACACGTACACGTACATAAACACACCCGTGGTCAGTCCGGCTGTCTGGGTTAATGCTTGGCTAACTGGGACAGCAGAGTTGAACCATGTTGACATTTTAAGCCTCAAACAAGTCCAGAACAATGATTCAGCCCATCCAGCCCCCACCCCACATCAGACTGCAACCTCAGCCCATTTTGCTGACCGCACATACATACACACACAGGCAGGCGTGCATAAACATACACACCACTGCCCAAACATACTGCTTAGTACTTGGCGTGTCCCCTCCGCCTCCTCTCTTCACACACACTTACAGACAAACACACACTGGGTCTCCTCCTGTTCCCCACCTTTAGTGAATAAAGGAGAACAAGAGCTGATCTGATTGAGTTGGCAGCAGAGAGCGAGGTGGAGAGGTACAGTAAGGCCAGATGGATTATCTTAATCCTTCAGTAGATGATCACGGCAGAGGGGAAGATGAACCGGGAAGCTGTAAGCTCCCAGCAGACCCCTGGTACAATGTTTTCCTCCAGAGATGCAGGCTACTGAAGTAGATGCCATGTGAATACCACGCCGACAGGCTGGTATTATCCAAAACTCAAAAAATCTGAAATTATGAAGAAGCTTTTTTTCAAAAATGTGATGTAATCCGACCTGTACGGCCATTTCTGTGGCGGCCATTTTGTGTCAGGCCATCTTGTTTCCCTTCTCGCAAACTTTTGGTATGCTTTGATTCATATCCAAGTATGAGAAGGAACTTAAGGGGATTTGTGTGAAACACACTAATGCTGAACAATGTCAAGCTGCTACATGTAGTGTTTTTGCGGGGCTAAATTAACTGCACTCTGCCTAAAAGGCCATGCCAGACAAATCTAAACCCATAACTCCGACAGCTCAAAGTATTAAGGCTGTATAAACTGTTGCTGAATTATGCGGCTGCTTTTCCAGACTTAGTTTTTTATGTGTTTGTAACAATTTCTTTTCTTTTTCTCGCCCCCTCCCCACTCTCAGGTTTGTGGCTGGAAAAGGCCTGGTGATTTACCCCGACATCGGGGACAAGCTGGATATCATCTGTCCCAAAGCGGACCAAGGGAGAGACTACGAATACTACAAGTTGTATCTGGTGAAGAGGGAGCAGGCGGAGAGCTGCAGTACAGTCCTCGATCCTAACGTCCTGGTCAACTGTAACAAACCCGAGAAGGACATCAAGTTCACCATCAAATTCCAGGAGTTCAGCCCCAACTACATGGGCTTGGAGTTCAAGAGGAACGTCAACTACTACATCACCTGTAAGTTTGTCGTGAAAGATGATTTATTGTTGATATTTAGCTTTTTAACCTTCATTTAACCGCAGAGGCCCGACTGAACGATCTGAGTAATAATCTCTGCTTCACACTCAGTTACACACAGTCACACCTGGGAGTTTCCTAGGAAAACTGCATTTTAATGGCCGCTGCAGCAGCACCACAGCAGCAGCTAGAGAGCAGAGCGGTATTAGGTGTTTAGGATGGAAATGTTCCATATCATTACGGGACCTTAAAGTGGCAACCTTGACTGACTGCTGAATGTTGGGTTTTTTATTTTTTACATTTTTGTGGTGGGAAAAATAGAATTTTCTGCAGTCGTCTAAAGTCACCGAGTAGATTTACTGCTGCTATTTAGTTCTGCGCTCGGGCACTGTTTCGATATTTCACTTAAAGTTTTCAGCCTGATTCTACTTTATTCTTTCAAACTGCTGTTTTACAGAGAACAACACAGCTATATTGCAGTTCCCACTAGATGCAGCGTTTTAGGTTTAAATATTGCTTTTTTGCTAAAACGTCAGTAATAAAATAAACACTTGTCTGTTTCTGTTTTACTGACCGCCAGCTGTCTTGAAAAAGCACAGGAAGCTGTTGACTTATTTATTCTAGCTTTTCCTCGAGCTCATATAGAAGAAAAGGCTTCAAATCTTTTGGAAATCTTTTTAAGCCTGAACATTACTGCCCTTGTTTGGTCTGAGATGACTGTGACAGTGACTTAATACACTGTTTTTAGTTTGTTTAGCTTTGAAGTTTATTATGTTGGACCTCAGTCTTTTATAACATGTATGTGTGTATATGTACTTTACATACGTGCATTTGTGTGCATATTATTATATTTAACCGCTGCTGATTGAAGTTAAATAAAGGTTAATTTAACACAACATAAACAATTAGAATGCAATTATATTATAATAATATGAGGTAATATTTCATTCCATTTCCTAAAAAATAAAAAAGTACTATTTTTTCTTTTTTTTCTACGTGATGGAAATGCAAAAATACAGTGCATTTGTTGCACTCTTATTTTATCGCTTCCACTAACTCGAGCGTACCTTTTCATCACCAGAGCGAAACGTTTCAGACAGATGGGCGTGCGATAATGCCAATTTTGTCACAGAGAGGCAGCTGAACATATATGGAGACTTCAGTTTGCAAAGATAAATAAATAGTGAACAGTTTGGGCTTAAATGTAGCTTTTCTTTTACGGAAATGTGTATTTTCTCTGTAATTAGTGCCAAAAGTAAAGTAAAACTGTAAAGCTATTTTTGGGAAATATTCTGGAAAATTATTAAGAAATTACAAACTTGTAGAATTAAAGTTTTTTGCCCTTCCATCTAATGTGTACTTTTACCATATTTTGTTTAGTAATAATGCTTGTGTAGTGTTAAATTTACTTACTAAAAAATTAAAGATTGTAGATTGTGCAAACTTTCCCCTACACATATTTTTTAGACGCTGTCAAAATAAATTATTACTGCTTCCTTATTATAGGTGACTATTTTTGCAGTCACGCTGGAACAATAGCAGAGTCTTGCTCTCTGGTTGGCTTTAGGACAGATCTTTTAATTTGTAACCTCACTTGTCTGTCTATGAGTAAAGGACTTTTAGTAGAGGGTGTCAAAGGAACTGGGTCTGTCACTGTACTGGGTGGTGGTTGCTGCCTTTCACACAGATTCCTGCTCGTGTAATTTGATGCCGTAGTAATTACCTCAGAGTTAGCAATGGGTGTAAGAGCTGGAAGGAGTTCTCGTGGTTGGACTGCTCCTTTACGTACTATATTTTCCTTTAAGGATTGAGGCTCAGCAGGGGGAAAAAACTGATGGGACCGCGTCTATCTCTAAACTTGGCTGTGTAAATCTGCTTCACCCAAGTGTCTGGTTGAGTAATTTAGCACTGAAGTAATGACCAGTGGTTTAACAGGTGGGGTCAGAGGAGCCGGAAAATCCAGAATCACAGCAGTGTCTGGTTCTTTCGTGGGTTTGAGGTCTTTCTCCTGGAGAATGTAGAAAACCTCAATCCTGTTACTCCTAACCCTGGAAAAAGGTTGACAGGGGGTGATTTAGAAACAAGTCAGACTTTTGGGATCTTGGGCTGAAACGTGCAATTTCAAAATGAACAGGACCATTTTAAACCTGATGGAATAGGAGAAGTTGTCCTGATAATCCTGGAAGATACCAATACCGGTCGGCCGCCTCCTCCTGCTTCTCTCTAAATACATCGAATGCCATGTTTTGGGATTTTAGGATGTCCCTAGGTTCGAGTCATCAGAATCGAAGCTGTTAGTAGTTGTGCATCAAATATAGCTTGCTAAAAATTCAGAGAATGGACTGTGGAGCATCTGGCCTTGAAACCTCATTTATTATTTGTATTTACCTGAAAAACTCACACCTGAAAAACCAGATATAAAGTGCAGTTTTGACACATTTAAAAGATAAAATCATTACGAATTTAAAGCAACTATTATAGATCCTCTTTTGGTTTCTAGCCTTGCCAGCATGAGAAGAGGCTTGGCAACTCCAGTTTAAACTCTCAAAGCCTTCAAAGAGAAACGAAAACAGGGGTTTTATCTCAGGTACTTTACTTCATTGCAAACAGTTTAACATGTAGGGGCGGTTGGTTTGTATATGTCTTATTAACTCACTGTCCTTTTGCCGTCCTTCAACACAAGGATTATCATGTCTTCAACAGCCTTAGTTTCTGGCTGACGTTGGAGGAGTTCTATCACTGGTGCGATCTAAAAAAAACATAAAGCATATGATTCACACTTAAATGCACTCTGATAAGACTGCAGCAGACATTCATTGTTAGTTTTGGCTTGGTGGTAACAGTAAATCTCACCTGACATCTTTTAACTGTTGATAAGCCAGCCGAGCTGCAGAGGCAGATCGTGCATGAGCGTATCAAAAAAACAACGTTAATTTGTTTTATTCGGGAAAGTCGAAAGACAACATGCATTTTTACTGCATATTATGTTTGTTTAGAACCACTCTTTAATGCTCTGCAGTCTGAAAGTCGACTAGGAGGAACTCTTGAAGCTCTTATTTGAACTGAGCTGTTTCTGTCATAAGCACGAATCAGCACAGATGTGCATCAGAAGTTGCACCACCACCACGTCTTTACTGATATACACTGAGGTTTCAGAACGTCATCAAATGTTGTCTTTATCGGGGAAGGAGCTAATGATTTCAATCTGCAAAAAGATGAAACACTTGCTGTTTTTGTCTTTTTTATGGGATTCTGCACATGATAACATACTGAGCTAATAAAGGAAAATAAGGCCTTGTTTTGCTTACTTAGGCTCTAATTTTATCTTCTGTTAGTATTTATTTTTTTTAAGTTGTCTGACTTTAAAACATTTCTAAAATTAGACGCCGAGTTTTGCTTGATCTTGTCTCAGAAAATAGTCAGTCAAAGTCTTCATTGCATCTGTGATTTATTCTGAAACTATTAGAGATGACTCTGACATTAGAAACACACTGTCTAAACTCATGCAACAAGCTGCCGTATGCCAGAGGATGACTGGCACAATGAGAAATTACTGCAGGAAAACATGGACCCAGTACCAGTCTCCTCTAATGAGGCGTGATACATAACAGTGTTTTATCCAACACATAATTAATTTTTTTATATTTCCAAATATTCACAAAACACGATTAATCTCCTTATGTTACATTTTTCCCAAATAAGAACATAAGTCTTCCTTGCATGGTTTAACTGTATAAAATGTAACTTTGGGTATAAAACATCTCAAAAGTTCAGATGTGTAGATTTTAGTCTCACAAGTGGCTTCTGTTTTTTTCACACTCTCCACACACACAAATTAAATCGCACATATGTTTCTCTTTTCATGTGTAGCGGTTCAATCGATACTTGTGAACTCCCCCTCACAAACGGGGATGCAGAGAAGCATGAAGCTTGTGATGTTATCAAGGGACGTTTTTAGAGAGGGGTGGGCTGCTGTTGCAACGCATCTCGTGGACTTTTAGAAATATTTCTTTGAGCATTATTACGCCCACATGTCTTGCAGATAACACCTTGGGCATTTTTTATTGTTATTTTTGGGCGTCTTCCTCAAAGTGTTGCTAACCAGCTGTTCGTAGAGCTTCTCTGCATATTGTCTTCATAAATATTAGAGCGAACTTTATTAATGGCACATGCATCTCCGTGCATCTCGACTGCGGTTTGAGCGAACATCAGCTTTACTTTAGCTCGAATGAGCTTTTCTGCAACGTTCTCTTGTGTCTCTGCTCCGTAACAGCATTCCTGCTGATGTGTGTTTTTTTATGTAAGCATTAGGAGCACTTAACACTCTCTCCATAGTGTTTTCTCACAGAAGCAGTTGTAAATCCTTCACGGGGGAGTCTGGTCGTGCAGAATCCAGCCTGATGGTGGATCATTATTAGGCTCATATACTGTAACGTTTTCGTGTCAGCAGTAATCGGATGTAGTATTTGTCTTGGTATTATGGTAATGTTGTTGTCCTTTGCAACAGGAAAAGCTTGTTTTATTTATTCCACCGCAGCCTGTGCATACACCATGACACACTTCATCTATCATTTAGATAATGGCCATGCGTGGCTGGCGCATATGTGTGTGTGTGTGTTATGTGTGCATTTCCTTGAGGGAGCAAGAGAAGAGAGAATAAGCACCTGCATTGAACGCACCGCCTGCTTTACCTGTGCAGCAGTGCACTGTGTGTGTGTGTGTGTGTTTGTGTGTGTGTGTGTGTTGAGGCCCCCTTAGGCAAGCTTATCCCTGCCTAGAAGATGTGAGTAGGTTATCCCAGTGACTCTGTGGGAATGTGGTCCGGTCAGCCAGCAGAGCGGTGTAAATCTGCTCTGTGTATAATGACCTGGCTTATCTGCTCTGATTAACGGTCAGACGGGAAAGACACCGTTTGAGATCAGAAGAAGACGCACAGGGGAGTGGACATTCCACTCAATCTACTGGCAGTCTTTTTCTTGTCCACACCCGACCTCCAGTCT